CGGAGCATCTTCCTTGACAACCTCCTTGGCATGTTTCTGGCCTACGGCGTCGGGTTCTTTTTCTGGTCCAGCCGTTTCCCCGAACGGCTTTTTGAATCCAAGAAGGGCGCGGCCTTCAGTTTCGATTTGCTCTTCTCCTCGCATCAATTGTGGCACCTTTGCATTTTTTTCGCCGTCTATACGTGGCTGGAGGGTATTTTGGAGTTCCACCATGCCTTGCACGACCTAGGATGCGTCGTGCTAAGGGCCGACGGAGATTAGTAGAGTGTGGATTAAAAGAGTGTGGATTGGGAGTCGGGAATTTGAATTTAAACGATGGATTCAAACTTAAACATCCACCGCAACGGCTGTCCAGGTGGGGACTCGAGGAGCATGCCTGTCATTGGGGTAAATTTGACAAAATGATACCAAAATGGAGCTGTAATATGAGCAAGTGATGTTGAAATGCCAGCCGATGCTTCTGTCAATGGAGGCTGGAAGGGGAAAGCCGAAAGTGAGAAGTAAAATACCCGGATATTTACATACACATGCAAGGCACCATCGTCCTGCCCTGAGGTCATACAGAATTCGGTAGCGCCAGAAAAATCGATGAAAAGTGTGAAGAAAAGGTTCCCTGGAAGAGGATTCAACCAAATATTGCGCGAAAGAAAATGCAAGGGGGCCGTCGAGCATTACCGCCTTCCGCCCTCACCCTGCTTTGTCGAGATATGGCAGCAAATTGAAAAATGAATAAAGCCACCCATGGCCGTGCATCGCTTCGTATCAGGGTAAACTTTTCCTTTTGTCTCCGGAATTTTCCTCCGTCACCCTCGAACGACCACCTTTTGCACCACCATCCCGGAAGCGAAAGGGAATGGGTTCAAGCTCAACTGGTTAAATTTTCCTAGTACTTTCATTTTTTTAATTCCGCTAGGGTCTTCTCCAGCTCCCCGCTTTCGAACATCTCCAAAAGGATGTCACTGCCCCCCACGAATTCACCGTTGACGTAGCACTAGGGGGGAGGAGGGGTGGGTGGTGGAGGGAAGACCAGGAGGGTGAGAAAGGCTGCGAAGGGCAGGAGGCTCGCGACTTGAGGGACTCGGAGCCCCGCCTTTTCAACCAAGTTCCTTTCCCGGGTATGAATGCACCTCCTTGTTCTCCGTAATCCTTCTACTGCCCCACACCTCCCGTCCATTCCCGTCGAACAACCTCACAATACAAGGGTATACCTGAGGAATGGTAGGCCACGAACTGTAATTCTTGATCTCCTCCCGTACCAAATAGTCTGGAAACGAAGGATTATGGGGAAAGCAAGTTGAGAAAAAGCTAAAAGCACGCTTACTTAACGTTTTGCTGACATCCATTACCGAGCTTTTGAAATAGATGTCTTGGTACAAAATCTTCCAAGAAAAATGCACGCGCACGTGACCTAAGTTTTTTGCGAGAAGCCGTCTGCACAACCTGCCCCCAAAATTGATCCACGAGATCACTTACCGCTTAAGACATCAAATGTTTCAAATTCGGCGTCGCAAGCGCGAAGAATAGAGACTGCTGTGTTGGAGAATCCGCATTGCGGAAAAAGTTTCGAGCCCTTCATAAAAAGCATGACTTTATTATTGCCCACTAAAGACTTGATTTTTTCTACGGCTGCGCTTCGCTCTGCAGCTTCGTCGCCGGGGGCCATCGAGGAACGAAGCGGGAAGGAGGAGGATATGCGGGGGCGAGGAGAGGGTGCGGGGGGAATCAGGAACCCCAAAATTGATTGAAGGGAAAGGAGAAGGGTACATGTGAAGAAGAGGACCCGCATGGTTATCGTACGTAAAATAGTGCTTGATGGGACTGTATGTTGTGTTCGAAAGAGGTAAGTTGAGGTGTTGCAGGGAAGCAAGCTATACACGACGACTGCCGCGTGACTTGAGCAATCTTCACGTGCAAGCCTTTGATTGAAACGATCCGAATTTTAACACAAATAGTAAGAAGACAGCCCCAGCATGAGTTACCAAAGTTCGACTCACTTCAGCATGGAAGGATACTCGCTGTGCAGTTTCCATCACAATCGGGAGAAAGAACGCTAGCAGCCTCTGCGTCGAGAAGAATTAGGCATTGAAAACCAGGACAGATGTCTGACCATTTGAAATTTTGAAAAGTGTCAATCTGTACCACCCCACCGGATGAACGTCACACTTCTTGTTCACAGCCAGCTCAACCCAAACCACCATTTTTTTGCTCGTGGTAAGCAATTGATTGCCTTCCAGAAGCCAACGACTGCCAACTTCCCCAGCAAATCCCGATTTTTACCCGTATTTTGCCGCTCTCCCCCAATTTACCCCCCACTTCAACTGCCAAACCCCCACTTCTAAAGTCGAGGAGTTGATGTGGGCCCCCGGAGAGCCTGCAAATGTTTCATTGTTCCTTCGGTGCAAGGACTCAATTGATGTCGCTTTCGTCAGGCCGCAAACTAAGGACAGGGGATGCAATGTGGAATTTCCTCTTTTGACATTCTTTAAAAATTAAGATCGCACTTTCATAGAGCACTGGTCGCAAAGTATGGTGATTTGCCATGTGGTATTCGTCATGGACAGGACCTGTGTGCCCCTGATGATTACCTTTATACGGCTTGGCAGGATTTTATGGGCTGCATTGTGATCTCACGCTTTTGCTGAAGCCTAACGCATACACTCACATAAGCTTTGTGCTCTGCTTGTACGTTGTAAAAAAAGCCGTGGAAAGACGCAGGAGCTGTAAGGGACGTATCTATTCCTGAACCTTCCTGACCTTTCCGAATTTGTTCGAATATTTACTAATCTGGGCCCCAATAATCTTGCATCACAGCACTCTATCAACTCAAATGACGCGTCAACTTTCCATGGTATGCGCCATGGTGTTCGCCTACCTTTGCCTTTCTTCAGGTCAACATGTCAAGGTGAGCAACAAAATATTTTTTATGCCAGAAGACGTCAAACTCTCTTCAGATGATTATACGGACGTCCGCAGGAGTCATCACTTCTCTATGGATGCAAAGCAAAAACAACAATAAAAAGCATCTCACGCTGCTCTCACGCCCTCGGCGGGGACTCTTCGCATAACAGCAGAGCTCCTCCCAAGTTCCTGTCAGTAGTGCTGTTGAAGGGATTGAAGGGGCCGGGGGCGTCTCTTGGAAAACTGTCACAGGGAAAATCGATGATAAGGGCACCACTACAATCGAAGTGGAGGTCACGAACAAGAATAACATGGCGATGGAAGCACTCACGGCCCCCGCAAACGGAAAGTATGACGAGGAGGTGATGTACACTGCAACCGACAAGGTGGGGGCTGCGGCAGGGCTTGTGAACCGTCCCAACCGCGGCACGGGCGACAGGGCTGTCGAGGTGGAGGAGGGAGACAAGGTGGGGGCTGCGGCAGGGCTTGTGAACCGTCCCAACCGCGGCACGGGCAACAGGGCTGTCGAGGTGGAGGAGGGAGACAAGGTGGGGGCTGCGGCAGGGCTTGTGAACCGTCCCAACCGCGGCACGGGCGACAGGGCTGTCGAGGTGGAGGAGGGAGACAAGGTGGGGGCTGCGGCAGGGCTTGTGAACCGTCCCAACCGCGGTACGGGCAACAGGGCTGTCGAGGTGGAGGAGGGAGACAAGGTGGGGGCTGCGGCAGGGCTTGTGAACCGTCCCAACCGCGGCACGGGCGGTAGGGCTGTCGAGGTGGAAGAGAAGGCGGCAGAGCAAGAGACTGGGGGGGCTCGTCGATTGCGTGGGGCTTAGGATGCGTTGCGTTCCGTAACGGACGGCTTCGCATTTCATTATGATGCAAATGGACAAAGTCGCAAAGCTTCAAGTCAACACGAATTGGGGATGTGAGCGACAAATACATGTAAAATATGCAGTGTAAACAATAAAATTTTCATCTTTGTGCGATGTACCTATACATACTCAAACAACGGTGACGCACGCATGCAATAAAGCAATGGAGAAAATCGTGGCTCAATACGCAGGCCTGTCTGATTCTTAGGATACTTTTTAGATCAAGATATGGCACCAATCGAATAAGGACAAGTTGTGAGGAATGAAAAGGAGAATCGAAGTTAGCAGTGGCGAGACCAGAACAATTATGGGCGCAGAAAATTCACGAGAAAATACCGCGCACGTTGTTGTTTTCCATCGCTTGTTTTCCGGTGGATCTGAAGGGGGGGACTTTAAGATGGATTGTCATGTACACAGAAGCAGCCAGGGAGTCAAGCGGATCTCCAAAAACCACGATTTCTACCTCCAATCCACGATTACGTCCTCGATGCAGGATAATATTTATTTCATTCAAGAATCTTTTTACAAGAATGTGGACAAAATAAGACTCGAAAACAAAAGGGGACTCTCGATCAAAAGTTTCCAAAGCGCCGGATGAATTCCCAGTAGGCGAGGAGGGATTGTATCATCAGCGTCAACACCGTGCCCGCCTTCTGCTTGTTGGTCCGGCAACACGTTTCCGGTATTGAGCTGCTTGCTTTACACACATTTCAACTTCTGTCACCATCATGCCCCGGGAATATGTTTCAAGGAAGGCTCTCACCGCCAAGAAACCATGAGGAACTTCAAAGATAACGAAGAAAAGAATGTTGATGTACGTTTCAGCAGACCGATAATTTTGATCCACGCATTTGATCGCGAGAAGCGCAGCCATGAGTCGATCAGTTGATCCCTAACTCGTTCAAAAGTGATCTTTTTGGGTGTGACTTGATTCGTGTTTTTCATTTGTTCGATGTGCAAGACCGCTTCCTTGATCACACCCCAGAGATTTAAGGCCCTCAAACATCCCCGAAAAGTCCAACAGCCATTGAAAGATAAGAGCCGCGAAAGTTCTACTATAGGCTTCCCGTGATGACCAGCCACTGGGACACAAGAGCTGCGAAAGTCCTTTTTTAAAGGTATTTCGTGATGTAGGGCAATCAAGTGTCAGGGGCGCTGAGCCATGTGGCGGGCAGGGGCTTTGCACGATTA